TTTATTATATTCTTTACACTCTTAAATAGAAACTAGTCTAATTTAGCTAGGTATCCTAGCTCTAGATAATCCTTCGCGATACTAGCTGTGTGTCCCTGTATTAATGCTATGTGTGCGCGCTTACTCTAATAGTAATCTAAATTAATATTAAGTTTATTTATAATAAAGGCTTACTATTATTTAAAGATAAGTTCTTTGCTATTTATAAAAATCTTAATCTTAGGCGTGTGTTTAGTAAGGTAGATTTACTAGGTCTAAAAGGTGCCTAAAAAGTCTCTTACATTTAAAGTAGTAAGAGTAGTATAAGGCGTTATTAGAAGTAATTTAGTAGTTAGTAAAAGTTAACTAGTAGTTTTTAGCTAGATTAGCTACTTAAGCTATGCTTATAATTAAGTAATCTAATTATTAATAGATATACTGCTAGAGTTTAAACCTAAATTAGGTAGAAGTATAGCTTTAGGTGCTGCAAAAACAGGTTTAGCTATTAACATAGATTATTAATTAACTCTAGAGGGCTTACCTTAGCTAGAGCGTATTTTAATTTAAGAATTAAGAGGTAGTTAGTTAGACATTAGTAGTTACCTTTAATTTTAACAAGTTATTAGTAGTATTTAAGTTTTTACTTTAGTGCACTTTTTACAAATTTTTTAAAAGTAATCTTAATTATAAGAGATAGAAAGTTCTAAACTTAAAGGCTTTAGTTAATAAAAAGTCTCTAGATTTCTATTTATAGACTAAATAGTTTAATATAATAGTGTGTAAGTATTATAACCTAAACTAAATTAGACATGTCTTAGGCTTAGATGTAGTTAAATAAATAATTAGTATAATATTATAATAAGGCTATTTATTACTAGTAAAAGCAAGTTTTCTACTATAATGTAATAGCACAGGCAAGACAATAGATCTAAATGTAGTAAGAATCTACTTAGAGGCATATAGGAGTGCGTGGGGACTTAGAACCTAGGAATTGCCATTAACACCTATAGGCCTTGTACAAAGGATATTAGAAAACTACTAAGCTAGCTACAGGGGCAAGGTGCGACTAAATACATGGGGGAAATTAGGGTAACGGCAGGGGGCAGGGCAGAGTCGGGGCCAGGTCGAGTCAGGGTCGGAGCCGATACGGGGACCCTTCGGATAGGTTCCGGGCGACCCGTGATGGAACGATTCATGAGAATTGTTACAAGATGTCTATAAAAGCACATTAGGTAGTTAGAAAAGTTAAGCGCGTGTATATACTTTTTAATAAGTGTTTAACATTTTTAAAACTAAACTAGGTAAATATATAAAAAATAAAGCTATTTTATAGATAGCAGTTAAAGCTTTAAATAATACTACTAGTCTATAAAGTCTAGTACTGTAAGAGGTATCGAGCAGGAAACACATGTTATAGAGAGGGAATGCAGGATAGGGGGGTAACGAGAGAGAGTAAACCTTAGGGTTGGAGGCAGAGGTGCGGAGGCCGAGGAGCCTATATACCCTATGCTAAGCCCTTAGGGTACTTAAGGGTTAGATAGTTGTAACATAACTGTAACATAGCCTCCCCTCTTCTTAGAGCTTGTCCTAAGACCTAGAAAAGAATAGATAGTGTTAAATTCTATGTACAAAAGTAGTGTAGCTAGCCTTATTAAAAACCTAGTAGAAAAAAAGAGTATGTAGTTAGCTATAAAGCTAGAAGGATTTAAATTAAACGCTAGCTAAGTAGTAGAAGCTTGTACTAGCTATAGGCGGACCTGCGGTGGTGACTGTACAGGTCACGCCTAGGCAGTACCCATCCCTAGTGACTAAACTCTAGAAAGCCTTAGTAAGAGAAAAACTATGTTTAGAGAAGTGCAACTAGGTGCTTTAGAATACTATTGCTAGCGGTACAGCGGTACAGCGCTGCAGCTGCTAGGATAGGACGTTCTTCTTATTAAGTTAAGTGTTTGCAGTGATGACACTTGGATGCATCGTCAGCATAGTCACACGATAGTCGGATGTGTCGGATGTGTCGTCACACGATGGTCGGATGCATCGGCAGATGCATCAGCACCATAGTCTATTGCCAAGACCCACCTACTTAATTCGCATATATATAGACTCCTGCAAAGGACTCCTCTAGCAATACATTTAATGCAGTTCCTCATGTCTTTAGTGCTGTTACAATCCTTGCTTCGTAGAAGCACTCGGGTCGATGTTGTTCCTAGGGAGATAGGACGGAGGCGAGGGGCCGACGATAGGGTGTACAGTCCTACTTAGGGGCTAATGGGCTGATGGAGAGTGGGAGAGTGACCGGATTGTGGTTTGTTCCTAATAGCGGCAGTATAGTGGCCGGGTCAAACAGTCCTGTTAGACAGAATTAGAGGTATATATGTTACAAGATATACAAACAGTATTACAGCTTATTATAAAGCTAGAATGCTACTTAGTCTATATAAATAATAAACTAAATGTTAAACACGCCTTCTTAAGGTTGTTTAAGGTTAAAATTATATACATATTTAATAGTGCTAAGAACAAGTTACCTAAGTCTAGATAAGCTTACTGTATAGTAAACTTGTCTAGCTTACTTAAGCTTGTTTTTACTTCCTTAGCTTGTCCCCTATTAGACAATACATTCTTCTGTAATCCTAGGCAGCTGCGCTGCCTCTATGTCTTCTAATTAGTCTATAAGCAAGCTCTGCTCTAACCTAGCTAGATTGTGGAGCACTTCTAGTAGAGTTATGTTAGTCTAACCATAGACTGTAACACGCTGCCTCCCCTCCCTAGCAGCGTCCTCACTGCTCTGCTTACACAACTGCGTTAGTAAGAGTTTATTTATAAAGTAGGTATCTTTTTAGATAAAAGCATTTATTATTTTTATCTTTTCTTTACTAAATAGCTTGTTAGTTTTGCTTATACTGTTACCTTTATGCTGCTTATTGTCTTAATCTTTTTTATTAAACAAAAATAAAACTTTATAACACTTACTAATTATTAGAATTATCTTATGTGTTAACCTTATCTTTAGACAAGTGCGTAAAATGTGTAAAAAAAAAAATTAATTAATGCAACACCTTTATTTCTAATGCTATATAGAATTACTTAAAAAGAGAGAGAAAAAAGCTTCTCTAGTCTACTAAAGCAGCAAAGGTTTATAAGTAAAAGCTTATAAATAAATGTTTACGTCTAGTAAAAAAGCTTCTTAAAAAAGTAGTAAAAATAAAAAAGGTGTTAGAAAGAGAGTGTTCTAAATAAGATTATATCTAAAGATTACTAGATCTGCTAGAGGCTTACTGCGTAAAGTACTTAAAGGGGGACTTTTTCTTCTTAGACAAGATAGCAGCCCTTAAAGTAAAAGTAAAAAGTTAATTACCTCTCTAACTTTTTTTACTAGAACTTGTCTCTAAAAGCTGCTACTATCTAGTAATAACATAGCTGTTTCTTTTAAAATAGATGCCTTATTACCTAGCTAGTCTCTTTTAGGCAAGCTTAAAGATACTTTTATACTAACTACTGCGTATTCTTTAAGTTCTTAGCTAGTTTCTAGGTATTTTTACTAGTAAGCTATTTTTTTTATTTTACTAAAAATTCTTTTTTGTTTTTTTAGTTATTAATAATTTATTTTACATTATACTCTATTTTTATATTCTTTTATTTTTATTTTAACAAGGGAATTTTTTTAGGTGCTTTTTCTAACTTTAAAATATAAAACTATAGGTATATTCTTATATACAGGGGAAGCTTTAGCTTATAGTTATTATAGTAGGTTTATAAAACTTTATATAGTCTAATCCTTTTTTCTGCTAGCTTTCTAAAAGGTTGTAGTATTTTAAGGTTCTAAGTTTTAAGGTATATATAGTCTTCTAGATAAATTTCTAGTCTACATTTTTATTTCTAATTTATGTATTATTTTATTATTTTCTAACTAGATTTAGCTTTAACTACTAATTTCTAGTGTATGTTTTACAGATCTAATAGGCAGTTAATTAATTCTAGTAGATCTATAGGCTAACTTCTATAGAGTGTATAATAAAAGTAGTAGCTAAAATTAGCTTTATATAGAGTTTCCTTAATTATAGTAGATTCTACTATGTTAATAGTAAACTGTGCTATTAACAGCTATTCTGCCTAGTTATTCTAACTAAAGAACACATATTGTCTTAGATATCTCTCTACCTCTGCGTTTATTTGCTTAGTCTGCCTGTCTATTTATAGGTGGTATGCTGTGGATAGCTTATAGGTTACACTTAAGTGTCTTATAGCAGGTTTCTAGAAGTTACTAGTAAACACTTTATACATAGCTATAGTATATTACTTTAAGAGTGTTGCATTTTATTTAAAAGCCTAAAGTGTAAGCTGTATCTAATATTCTTTTAGAGCGTTTAAGTAGTGTTTTTAGAAATGCATTAGTGTAAGAAAAGTAGTTTAGAAGGTTCTTAGCAAAAGTAACTTAGGTGTGTGAGCAACTTGCCTATAGAGTACGTTATACATCTAACACTTATAGTTATAAAATAAACACTTAGCCCTTTTACTTTTATAATAGCAGCATGTGTATAAACCTTTAAGAAAGCTTTAAATAGTAACACATATTAAAATTTTTCTACTAAATATTATGTATTATTTATAAAAAATCTACTTAGCTTTTACTATAAATATTTATATAGCCTTAGCACTTTATAATTTATCTATGTTTAAAGACATAGTAATGCTATTGCTATACTTATAGTTAAAGGTATACTAGCTAATTTTATAGAAACTAGTGTAATTTATAAAGTGTATTAAGAAATGTCTTTTTGTTTTAAACAATCCGACTATTTACTACTAAGTTAGTCTAGTAGTTGTCTTAAATAACTCTTTTAATATTAACTATAATAATCTTCTGTTTTTTAAATAGATTATATTTAAATAAAGCTATATTCTTAAATTTATAAACAGAGCTATTTCAAGCAAGCAGACTGTAGCTAAATTTAGTAAGAGTTTAGCGTTATATAAATTTTATAGTAACTACTATCTAAAGTTAGGTAGAAAGAAACCTATTAGATTCTATCTTTATAATACCTGCTCGTCCCTATATGCCTTCCACTAGTGGGATATTTAGTCCAGTTGCTTTGGCGAGTGAGCGCCGTCCAGATAATCAACGGCAGAAGAGCCCTGTCGTGCGCAGATATGCATTCGAACACGGTCGCCATTGTTCCCTTAACACCAGTGCCGCTATAATTTCGCGTATCGTCATCCCTTACAACGGCTTTAACAGAGTTAAGCATGAGCAATATAACCCCGGTTTCGTCCATACCATAGACATTCTCTAGTTGAGTGACTGGGCAACCCATTTAAAGTCCGACATAATTTATCATATATGTTCATATCGTGCCGCTTCCAGTCTAACACCTTGGATTCCTTCAGTTTGACCTCTGAATGGCCTTCGTGGAAGGCCTGAGGCCAGTTTCCTACCCGGAGGGTTCATCGCTTCGTTCGCTATGGGAGGGTAGGGTGTCATAATGTATGCTAACGAACGTAGATACCTAATTGGAACCGGGAAATCACTACCAGTTATCTGTAACAGATATTAACTAGAGCTCTCTCTTACGGCGAGGTAAGGTACTGTGGGCCTATCGCCTTTTCTTTTTTCGACAGTCGTTCGTGTGCACGATGTCATAGGGTAGAGCGAGGGCCATTGCCCCGTTCTGATAGGCCAGTGTATTTTTTTGGCTCGGAGACATCGACGCCCTCTAAGAGAGGACCTCACTGCCGCGTTTCATGCTAACTCAGATGGCGGTGGTAGGAAATAGGGCAAGTGAGAGGCCGCGAATTATGGGGTGCAGGAGGACACATAGCTGTCCGTAGACACTTCTAAAAGCCTACGCTACACTACTAATTATTTCTAGGGTATTGCGTAATACCATATAGCTTAATCAAGGCTCAGTATATCATAACTAAGCAGGCATTACTATTTATTTCTTAGCGCGAAGCACCTTTGATCCTTGAAACTCTCGTAATGCATGATACTACAGCCTAATGGTATAATAGTTTAAAGGAACACTCTTCTTTAACTGGACTTTCAAAACATTATTCCAAGTACAAAGAGTTTCCAAATCTATAATGGAGTAAGAGGTGAAGCTTAAGCGCTCCTCGGTGCCATGGGAAAAACAACCAAGAGCATAACCAAGACTGTCGTATTTTCCTGTGCGCACAGTCCCAAAACCTGAGAAGAGGTAGTTAGAGGGTATTTCAGCAATTCTACGTTAACGATAAGTTTATAGACCTTTATAGGAAGACTGGAGATGCTACCAGTTGAAGCTGTTCGGCACGGTGGGTGATTAGCTACGCAAGGGGGGGCGGGGGTTAGACAAGGCGTAGAAAAGGGATACTGTACTGTACATGTACAGTACATTCGGGAATCCACTCCGAATGATCCCAGGAATCTCATTTCTCGTCCAGACCCCATGCGGCCAGAAACCTATTTATTTTAACCCAGTACAGCTTGTGTATACCTGCGATTATCGCATGAGCGCTTATCACTGTGTTCAGGCAATAATTCTCGTTGATAGGATGGCTATCGAAGTTGTTGAACGTTGAAAAAGGTCAACCCCCTATCAAGCGCAGCAGAAGAATATATGAAGGCGGATAAATGCACGCGCAACAGATTATTTGTTGCTGCCCTAGACTCCGAACGACATAGGACGATCTGTTGTCCATTCAGCCGGGCTGGCGTGCTTTTGAGTGTGAGGATAGCCCTATGTAAGCTATATTTAAGAAGATTTGCTCACAACGGTCTCCGTAGCCTGATAATCGGCCCATTCAAGTAAAGGACCTCGAGTAGGGCCACATTGCTATCCTCCACAAGGAATAACTGTATTGCGGGTGGTTAGTACCGTCATAATAGCGGCAGGGATCAGGAGGAAGTGGTTTAGGAGTTGAAGACGCCCTTTTGTGGTGGCCAGATGTCCGGGCGGATGCGAAAATCTCACATCACAAGTGACACATAATCTCGTGATACCGACGTCTTTAGATGCTATGTCTCGACTCTCGAGGCATCGGCCCAAAGACGTGCTCTTGACCATGAGGGTCCTTCGTGAAGAAAGGAATTGTATCGTCCTTTTACTTTCCCGGCTCGATGATAGAAGCCAATGATTAGAGAAGAGTTCGTATAGACCAGAATTTCATTGCAAGAATAAGTTAACGAGGTCGATAGTCATCCTTTTCAGCCCAGGAATGCTGGTGCAGAAAATCGTTGTCTGCAGGATCTCCAGGACGTTAGAAGTGTACGGAAAGCGCTTTAGATCTTAAGGCAAAATGCTTGGGCGGATTGGCGATTCAAGGATGTTGATTTGCAGAACATATCACACAGCGTATTATAAATCCAATTGAGGTCACTGTGTAGAGTTAAGTCGTACTAGAACACTTAATATTGTGGCGATTAACACTTAGAAGGATATTTAGGACAAAGGAAAACATCATCTGCCTTCAACAAAAGCATTTACTTGGCTAAGATATTCCAGCAAGCTGTCGATATATAGGTCCAAGTTCAGCAGAGGTCGTTGTCCACTTTCCATTTGCCAGCACACTTGTTTTCAAAACGATATTCTCATCAGCTGTCCGCCACATACAATGTATTGTATCGGAGCTATACATGCCAAGGGCAATGTGGTCATACCGAAGGTGCAAATTCTTGCGTTCAGTAGAGAAATTAGCTACCAGCTCTGTCGCGCCATTTCTTACGTCGACACGAAAGATTTTATTGCGGCCTGACCGGATGCAGAAGAGGTGCGACGAAGTAGCCGCTAATGATTGAGCGGAGTTATCCACCCGTGTGTCAGGCACGTCGAGATGTTTGTTCTTTGATCCTGGTGCGACGAACAGGATAGAGGGGTATGACTTCGATAAGACGGCGGTGAGGAAGACCTGTTGAATGAGCTTAGAGTCCGAATGACCCACAAGAGAAATGGAAGAGATTCCAGTGTCATCCGCATAACCCTGTCACTAAACGTCAGTTTTTGATTCAAACTAATGCTGAACACCAGGGGCTTACCACGGTCAGGTTTACTGGATCCAGTTGTGATTCCAGTTTAATATCGGATCCAAAGCAAGTCCAAATTGATACATGTACAGCATGCTTATGTGAGTTTTTCTCCACCTGCATCGAAGATATCAGTCTTTTTGAGTCAACAGAGAAATTGACTTTGTGGACGCGGACCGCATGGCTTCCGATATCAGCAGATGGAGAGAGCTTCCACGGGCCACGCAGCTCTTCGTTCAATTTGCGGTAAACTAGGGTGTATTTACCACATCCGAGCGCGATGTTCGCTCCGTCAGGGGAGAGCGCAAGAGCGAGAACGACTGGTGTGCCTTCATCAATGACAAGTGCTGGCTGAAGTTTGTCTTCTTTCAAACAATAAATCCATCGGGACTACATATGGTCAGCATTTAAGACATGAAGGAAGAGCACTGTGTAGCGTACATCCTCAATATGAACAACTGCTACAACAACCGCACCACTTGCAGCGAGGTGGCGGATGCTCCGACTTCGCTGCTTGCCATCTGGCAACCTGACATTGTTTGGTACCACTAACTCATGGCACCGGCCGGTGTGAAACGGCGCGTCTATATGGACGAAGCTTATTGGGTCCTTCTTACACCAAAGCGCAAGATGCCGTCCACAAGATGAGAAGCAGAAATCGAGGCTTGGCGGTAGTGGGTCTAAGGCTGATTTCCCTGAGCCCATGAGTCGTCCAAAAAAGCGACTCTTCTTTCGGCTCGCTATGCTGGCGGACGAAGAGAGATTGCTGACTGAATGCGAGTCCGTCGCGGTAGTGATAGATTCCCTCCGGCGGTCTTGAGGGAACGGAGGAGGCTGTAGCGTGTGTGCTAAGCCTGAGGCTTTTTCGTAGTCCTGAGGTGCCCAGGGAAGCAATTCTACATTTTGATCAATACGTTTCGGTAGTACTATAGTCGACTTGTCCACGAACTCGAGGCCGGAAGCAATGCGTTCGGGGTTACCATGGTTGTGAAGGAACTGGGGAGGTTCAGGAGGAGGTTCTACAACCTCAGGGTAGTTTTCATACGATATCCGTTTTGTCGTTTGCTGCTGCTTTGATGTTGGATTAAAGGTCGAAACTGGTAGATGTTGTCCAACATCGCGAATAGATTTCCGTTCCGCAGCAAAAGAAGGCGGTTGCTGTTGTATATGGGCCGGAGGTCCCATAAATCCTCCTGATGGTCGCTTATGAGCCACTTCAGATGATTTGGGAGAAGGAATCGGTGGAAGCGGCACAGATGGAGGATTTGAGGGCGGTCCCGAATGCAGCGCGTCGAATGCCACACGAAATGATTCTAAAGGTAGGCCTGGGCGTAGGGCCTGGGGTAAGGTGGATGGAGAAGTCGTCCTTGACACCCAAGCTTGTGCATGAGGTTGTGCTACTGCTGGCCGTGAGGGAGCAGGTACTGGTTTTCTCGGGGGTACGTCTCGAGCTAAAGCTGCAGTTGCATCCTGAATCATTTTGATGGCGGGCTGCGCAATCTCTGTGGCCGCTGAATCACTCCGGTTTTGTAGTTCCATTGGTAAATGTTGGTCTGCCTCTGTCAAGTCGAGGTGAATACCAGCATCTGTTTCCGGGGGGCTTTCAGCCTTAGAGGCAGCGGGATTACAAGGTAGATTCCATTTGGGACTTTGCAGGCTATCTGAATCTCGAATATCTGCACTTGATTTGAGGCGAAGAGGCTCGACGTGCAGGGTCGCGTTCATATGATTAGAAATGGATGCTAATGATGCTCTAATATCAGTAGGGGAACTACAAGAGGAGATGTCGCGCGAGGAGTACTGTTCTTCGCTCTTGACGCTGAGAGGCGACAATGTCGAAGTCCTATCCTCCACCCATTGGAGGACACTGTCATCTTTTTTTAGTGTGTGAAACGAACGTCGGAATTCGTCAATCTCGAGGCGCAGAACTCTCCCCATCCGCATTGCAAGCTGTTTATCAAGCAATAACTAATCTAGGTTAACAGACGAACACAAGGACAGAGGCATGAATGTTGGAGCTGAACGTACATGGTCTCCAGATAACGACTGTTGAGTCCTGTTGATGGTGAATGAGATCCGCTCCGCGAGATATTGTACTATTGCTGTCGAAAGCACGCTAACGTTTCCTGAGCGGCTCTGCTCTGATGCAGTCGCTATGATGCGAAGGATGGGGGATGGATCGTATCTACCTGCCCCATCCACCCTATGGTCCATGGGTGGCGCAATAATCAGGTTCATCAAAGTATCCCGAAGGGTCCAGAACGTGTCCGGTGTTGCGCAACCTTTGGTCAAAACAGTTGCAAACTGGCGCTCGGCATCTTCCTCGGGCGATAATCGCGTAGATTGAACCCCATTTTCATATTGCAGCACGATGCTGCCGGGTAGCATGTCCTCCAAGAACGCCTTCTCCGTCAGCGACAGGCTCCGTTTTTGGTCCCATGCATTCACCAATGCCTGGATCTGTGTCATAACAAGATCCTCCTCCTCGAGACTAACATTGTATTTCGACAAAAGAAGCACCCGGGTCGCTGCTACGAGTGCATCTAAGGCAACAAAACGGAAGATGGTATAGTCCAATGACGATCCGCCAACAGTCTTGTTAGAAGTACATATCTTCAAGATGAAGAGAATGATGCGGAGAATGGTGGGACCATCAATCGGCGGGGCGGTTGGGAATAACGTTGGAGCGGGGTGGGACACGCACACCGCGTCAAGGATCCATTGGAGTCTCAAAAGCACCTGGCGGTCATGTCGCAATTGCGAGTATGGCGGATCGTTAGGTAGACGGACTAGGGAAGCCTCGCTGGCGCCAATGACTTCAAAGAGCAGAGAACCTGGTCGACTGTTGTCAAGCCCTACGGCTGGATTAACGGCGGCGGTTGCCGACATCTGTCTGCGCGCAGTGAGAGGTGTAGAATTTTAGAATTCGAGTGACAAGGCTTAGAGATGTTGACGATGTGGGCTGCGACTGGTACAGAGCTCTCAGCCTCTGACGCTCTCTGCCCTGACGCGATGCTGGATGACCTGCACGTGTTCTCGCCTGAATGCAGTGCATATGTGGTCTTGGGGCCCTTCGAGTTTGATTTCAAAGGCGGAGATTTGGACCGAAGAGGCTTGCAGGAGATGGGGCTCAAGCAAGGCGGACTTTCTCACACAAATGCTCGCTCTCTGCAGACGTCGCCACAATACTCAAGACTTCTCGAATGACCGGGCTGGCGCCTGAATTTCTCGGTTGTTGTCACAAATACTCCAAGACAGGGCATCTGAGGATTGAAATCTTCCACTTCGCGTATCGCTGAGCGAACGGCTGCAATCAGTTTCTTAACTAGGAACAAAGAAAAATCATGTGAAGAGGGATAGGCGGGGGCCAAATTTGACAGACACGCCATAAGCCAAACGTACCTCAAACGATTCGTGAAATAGCTTGCTTCGCCCCATTGGTGGTGCAGCCTGGCAGGAATCCCTCAATTCAGCCATGCGCCATAAATATAGGGAGCATTCGCTTTGCTCGCATTCTGCGCGATGCGTAATTGTTAATGGTTGCACCACCATGACTTCTCAGTAGTGTTATATTACACGCAAAAATTTCATCTCAATAGCTGTTACTCGCTGTTCGGATAAGCTTCTTCACTAGTTGAGTGAAAGGCAAGGTAAGGGGGAGGAGATGATGGCTCGATAGGTAAGGCGCAGCGGTGATTGCTTTTGAACGCCACGGTTTGCTGTCCGTTACGAATACGAGATGTGGCGTGCGACATCTTCACCGGTTCAGGAATATGTCGCTTCTGATTGCACGACTGGAGCTTCCAATATGCAGCATTGCGGGGTGGGAAATTGAGGGCGAGGTTTGGGGGTGGTGATACCCTTGGCCCAAGCTTCTTCATGGCTCCAATTATTCGGCGCCTCATGCTGCCCATTCTTTGAAGACACCATGAAGGGAGTAGAGTCCACGTAGCCTTGTTCACTCTCACAAACATCCCACCCTCCTTTGAGTTTCCTCTTCTTACTCTCTCTTTCCAAGTCGAATATTAGAGAAAGATTCCTCAGATCCGGGCATCCTCCGCGTCGCGTACATCTGAGCATTTCAATGGATCCACCTATTCCTGAGAACGCAGAGAAGGTCTCGGAGCCTTCTGGTTCAACTACACGTCCTGACTCTGTTCTCTCCGATGTCTCTGAGATCCCAGATACCGAACTACGGTTCGTACTCATCTCTAAAATGCAATAGAACATATAATTAATAGTTGGCAGCCAAACGCTCAAAGAACGCCATGTGAATATGATAGGCTTTTCCACGGTTCTTGGAGTAGGCCTTTTTCTTTCTGCCGGAAAGGCCATCTTTATGGCCGGGCCTGGTGCTACTGTCCTAGCATACATCATAATGGGCACAGTGATGTGGTCCGTAATGGCTTGTTTGGGCGAGATGACTGCCTTGTTCCCTATCAAAGGTCCCATCTTCGAATTCCCACGTCGGTTCGTCGACCAGTCAATCGGTTTCGCGATTGGGTGGATCTCATGGTATGTCAAACAAGACAAAACTCAGAAGCTCTTCCGCTAATTCAACCAAGGTTCTCCTGGACTGTCATAGCCGCAGTGGAAATACTAGCCATCACTGAGATCTTTCGTTTTCGATTCGACCCCAAATACCTTCAGAGTGTCGGATATCCTGAGGATCGAGTGGAATGGAAGGCTGGCCTTGATACAAACCCTGCCATTTGGGTGGGGATATTCCTGATCATCATCCTTTTGATCAATCTTCTACCAGTTCGCCAATACGGTCGGGTCGAGTACGTATTCGGATGCATCAAGATCATTTTTCTAGTTGGTGTTATCATGTTCAACATGATACTGAACGCTCGCCAGAAGTTCCACGACACTAGGTTCTGGACGTACGAGACTCCTTGGGGATTCTCTAGAGCGAACTTCACCGTAAAGGCTTACCGAGACGGCTCCCCCAAAATCACTTATACTGGCTCTCTTGGCGGCTTAACTTCGTTCTGGACAACAATGACAACAACGCTTTTCTCCTTGATGGGCTGGGAAATCATTCTATACACCGCTGCAGAAAACCGTGACCTCCGAAAGGCAGAGACGATTAAGCTAGCGACACGGAAGATATCGCTCCGTGTTATTCTGCTCTACGCTCTCGCAGCCTTCACAGTAGGTTTGAATGTGCCGTACACAGATGATCATCTGCGGGATCTTACTCTTCTCGGGGTCCCAGGCGGCCAGAATAGTGTCTTCGTTATTGCTGCAATCCGGGAACATGTCAAAGGCATTCCGCATTTGATCAACGGCTTCTTCATATTTTCGGCATGCAGCACGGGAGTCAATTGCCTGTATGCCGCGTCCAGAACGTTGCATGCTCTCGCTAGCATTCGAGATGCGTGGCCGTCGTGGACTATTTTCGAAAGCATTCGATCGAGGCTAGAGCGCACCCGCTTGGGTGTTCCAATGAATGCGGTGTTCGTCAGCTGGCTGGTTGGCTTCGTCGCATTCCTCTCAACAAACTCGGTTCAGATGGAGACGCTTGGACGAATGTCGACGATCACGGTTGTCGCTAATTTAATCATTTACGCAGTGAACTGCGTCGCCTATCTAAATTTCTACCGGGAGGTCAATTCGGCTGCAAGAGGTGATCTCGACGAGGACCTCAATCTTTCCCCAGAAATGCGGGCGCACTATAAGAGATCAGCCCGTCAATACCCTTATCGATCTCATCTTCAGTGGATCCGAGCAGCATATGCTTTCGTTGGTTGTGTACTCATGATCATCTTCCAAGGATGGCGTACATTTATTCCGCCTATGAGCAAGAAAGATTTTGTGGCCGCTTACATCGCAGTCGTTCTTTTCATTGCCATTTCTCTGGCGTATTTCGTGAAGGACCGAGGCTTCTCTCCGCGAAACTGGAGAGTACTTGCACTAAAGCTTTCGGGTCTCGAGTCGGTTGGTCCCATTGTGGTGGTATCGGACAGCGTCCTGAAGCCGTGCGACTTCTGCGGTGCAAGGCATCGACGCGGGCATCTACACTTCCCGGACAAGATTCTGTTCTCGAAGAACAATGCTCGGGCACTGGTTGAATGGATCTGGACATGGTTGAAGTGAGAAAAGCCCTGTGTATTGAGGGCGGAGAGAATGGACCGTACTGGAGCAGACCTGAATACCCACCGTTTACATTTCGTAGCTGTTGATACCAATAATATAATCTGAATACCGTCTCCCCGTATTTCGATTGTATGAGACACTTGATTTCAAGAAACAGCACAAGAAAAATATCTCCCATTACCGGGAAATTGGACTCAAAATCGAGTTTGCAGCCCAGAAGATGACACGGCAGGAATGCGCTAGCCAAGTACCACCGCATGTAGTCTTGAGAACGTAAAGTATTAAGATGGAGAGATCAGCCACAACTGGGGATTAGAATGAAACAGGAATTGATTCATGCCTAACAAGGAAATCATAAGCAACAGTGCCGAAATTAGTCGCAACATATATAGAGGGAGGGTTAGCCGCGATGTGGTGGCCAATGGGACAGTAAGAGTTATGAGATTTTGGCATACAAACGAAGAGAAAGATGCGTTGCTAGTCTAGTAATAACACAACCCGCCTCCTGAGATTTTCTTAGTCCACCCACGTGACTGTGGGCTTGAAGTCAAGCTCGGACCACATCTCTTCCAGAGGGTCTAGTCGCCTGTGTAATTTTTAGTGCGCAGATAACTACAGAATTAAGTTGCGTCTAAAGTATCTTAACTTATAACATAAGTTTATATGTTTCCTGCTTATATACTATTTTAGTATGCCCTTTAAGAACATTAATAATTTATAGCTTTTTTCCTCTAACATAAAGGACCTTTTAACTAGTTTCTATTCCTCTACTGTTATTAGCTTAACAGCAGTAAATAAGCTTTAATAACTAAACTTACACCTACCTTTTAATAAAGCTATTGCTTTGCTTAAAAATAGTACTAGTTATAACTTAAAGCTTAGTTAAAAATAAGCTTTTAAAGACTTATATAGTAATTATAATAGTATACTTGTTGCGTAAACTAGGTATAAGAAGACACATGTTATTATAAAGTATTATATAACACTAGATTCTTAGTTACAGCCTATTACTCTTATTATAAGTTCTTTAAAAGTAATTAAATAGAGACAGGTATAAGAGGCTTATAAGTGCTACTATAGAATTAGTGTTCTTTTTTTTATTCTAGACAGCAATAGTAATACTATAAAACACTAGCATAATATTACCTAAAGTAGATATACTTATGTCTAGTTATTAGCTAAAATTATAGTTAAAAAAGCTCTAAATAAGAAAAATATTAATTTATTAAGTAATTTTATAGTTAGCTGCGCTTTTATAGAGTTTATATAAGTAACTATAAGTTTACTTAATAATTTAGCTTTTTTAACTAATATATAAACTTCTTTACCTACTCCCTTACATTTTTAAGATTTATAAGTAAGTAAGGCATGTAATTTACTAGCTAGCTACACTAATAATTAACAAGCGCAGCTGTTTATTAATTTTTACCTCTCTTTACAGCTAATTACTTTAGTGTCTTTAAATAGCACTTTAAGCTTTTACACACTAACTTTTTTAACTACATTAATGTTTTAGCTTACTGCTCTAACTACACTAAACACTAGTTATTATAGAAAAGGCGCGTCTACCTGCGCACATAAACTATGTGCGCAGCGCGTTATAGCTTTACTAGAGGTTCTAGAGAAGGTAGTCTTTAAAAAGCCTAGACAGACTAAAAATGCACTAATAAAAGTAGTAGTTATAGCTTAAAAAACTATACTAATAAAAATGTTTAATAATAGCTATGTTAATAAAAAAAAATTTAAAAGTGTAATTAAAAATTTTAAGTTTAGGTAATGCTACTAGCTAGTTACTATTAATAAGCTATATCTTTATGCCTGTAACAGCTAAAGAGAGGGCTTCTGTTCTTATTATAGGTAGATATCTAAGCTGTAGGACTAACTTAAAGACTATACTTACTAGTTTAGTACAACAGCTACTCTTACACACACTAACTTCTTAGATGTATCCTAGTCTACAGGCTTCTACTATCTCTGTAAAGGCGCTTCTATTTAAATAAAAGTATATTATAGTAACATTTTTATAAAGCTAGAGCTTACCTTTCTAAGTAAAATCTATTTACTCTACTATAAAGTCCTTTATACTATAGTTAACAACACCTTAGCTTATTTTAATTATATGTTACTAAAAATAATATTCTTTATTTACTTTATTAAAAACACTATAGAACTAGCAGCTAGTATTACTTACTAGTTAAATAATGCTAGTTACATAAACACTATAAATTAGATTACATAGGTGTATTATAGACAGCTTACGCTAGACACTTACATTAATATTAAGTGTTATTTTAATAGTAGTAAGCTTTACATACTTATTACTACATTTATATATGCGCTAGGGGTTAACTTACTAAGTGTAAAGTATGTTACCTAGTTTAGTTACTACTCTTTTAAGAATACTCTGCATGTCACAGTCAGCATGCTTAAGCTACAAGCAAGGGGTGGTGTAACTTAACTAGATTAAACTAAGAAGCAGAGGAGCTGCTCTGCGAGTTTAAATATACATGTGTGCCTCCTGCCAAGGCGCTACTTGTAGCACTAGCGTGCTACTCGTTGCGCAAGCGAGGGAGCTGATGCTGCAGAGCATGTAAGGCGGTACACGCCGTTACACTGCAGAAGCTTAGGCAGGCAAACTGTAGCAACACCCTTAAAGAAGATAAGGCTGTCTTTATATAAGCACTTAGTAATAAAGTTATTAGTTCTTTCTAGTATTAAATCTCTATTAAACAGTAAACACCTACACTAGCACTATATTTTTATTAGGTGTAGGCTTTAAGGTTTTCTAGTAAACTTTTTTTAGTTAGTGTTAATAAACTTATTAACAGCTTTTTTATTAATAGTAAGTAGAAGCTTTACCTGCTTAATTATAAAAAGCCTTTGCCTAAGAATGCGCCTAATAGTATTTAGTGTAAGCACTATTTATTAGCCTTTAAGTATAAAGTTTATAATAGTAGCTACTATTAAAACATAATTTTAGAGCCTTTTAAAAAGATTTACACTAACTTTTATAATAACTATTCTAGTTATGCTCTAAAGCAGCATCTTATTATGCTATTAGATAATGTTAAAGATAAGAACACTATTAATTCTATAATAAAAGCTAAAGTTAAAGATGCGCTACTTAGTCTTACTATTACACTTAGAAATAAGAGAGGTACTAGTAGCTAGCTCTAGTCTATCTATCTAGATCTAAAAGAGCGTGTTCTTTAAAAAAAGAATTATAATTACATAGCGTTTTTATACTTACAGGTTGCAGAGGGCAATTTATTTTAATAGGCATAGGTAAAAACATATAGGGATTGCGTTATCTTTGTAACTTATGCTACCCTTAAAATAGAACTTATTATGCCTAGTAATTAACTTTTTATAAAAAAAGCGCTAGTAGTCTTTATAAAGTAAATTACTATTTATCTACTTACTACTTTATTAGTTGCCTTTTTAAGCGCTATAGTGCAGAAAGCGCTCTTTTAAGCTATAACTCTAAACATTAAGCTTACTACCTATAGTGCGCTATTAGTAGTTAAGCATGTTAAGAAATAGTGTAGAAAGCGCCTAGTGTTAGTAAGTAATTAGAAGAATTGCACGCTAGCACGCAGGAGGCAGGTTAGTAGCTAGTTTGTTGCAGCACATAGTGTATGTTAATGTGCTGCAGTAATATGTAGAGCAGCTGCGCTTATATTTTATTAGCGCAGGTGGCTGCTATATTCCGCAACTATATATATATGCATACCTGTAGGGTTTTGTTAAAATTACATGCGTAGTTAGGAGTTTAATATACACATTAACATAAAAGGTTTATTCTTACATACTACAGCTAGCAGTAAAGAAGTTTGCTTAGTGTATAAAGTTGTCACGGTATCCTCCCCGGATCCTAGACATAACTGTATTAGACGCGTACTAGAGTATTATTAGTGCACGTCTGACACAAACACAACACAACACAGACATAAACTTAAGCATAAACCGCCTTAACACTAACTAAACCTAGAACAGGCTTAATTTATACTTAAAGTGCTTAGACTTCTAAGCTAAGTATTTAATTACTAATTTTCTCTTAAACTTTTCTATTCCTTACACAACGTCTTGTACCTACTATAATACCTTATGTAGTAATTAAACTAGACCTCTATAAAGCTCTATAACTTTACTTATGCATAATTATAACATTATGTTATGTTAAAACTCTAGCTAAGAATAGCCTCTAAATCTAATTTAATAAGCTTAGTACTTGTATAACTCTAAGCTATTAAAGTAAGCTAAAAAGCTTTTTAAAAAGCGCTTACTTTATAGAAAAGCTACTACATTGTAAGCTTTAAAGCTTTTTAAAAGGACTTTAAAGAACAGCTTTACGCTATTAAGCAGTCTATTTCTGCCTTAACTTTTATTATAGTAGTAGGAACTAAGAACTTACTAGCCTTAAAGCCTACTTAGAAGTCTAGAGATAGCTTAACTTCCTCCTGCCTAACACCACCTATAACCTGTAACCTTTTTAACCTAGTAATAAAATCTAACTAACTCTCTAATCCCCTACTGTTTAATAGAAAACAGAAAGACCTACTTTTCTTTCTACATAAGCTTTAATATAAACTTAAAAGAAATGTAGACTAATTCCCCTCTAAACACTTCTAGTTACTATATGCCTACTTTTAACTTAACTGCAACATAACAGCCTTAATTAACTTACTAATAAATAAGGATATTATTAACCTAGACTAATTTATAGTGTTCTTGTAAGCAACCTATAGAGACCTAAATAAAGAGTTAATAGCCCTAAGTTGCCTAAACACTTTATAATAAAAAAAAAAAAGCTTTACTTTACACTTTACTAAGTTCTGCTAACTTGCATCTAATACAGGCCTAAATAAGATAGGTCTAATTGCAGCCCTATATAACTCCCTCTTAACTAAACTGCAACACGCTATAGTAGAAGAACCCCTCCTAAATAACCTTAACATGTATGTAAACCTAATTGCTACCTATAATAATAACATAAGGTTCCTCCCTGTACAAGCCCTAATACACCCCTAAACTAGCGCAGTTGCAAATAAGAACCCTAACGTAATAGAAATTAATTTAAATTATGCTCTAGTTAGTTCTAGAGAGCGTAAAGATTATAGAAAAAAAAGTTAATGTTTTAAGTGCAGTAAGCATAGTTATATTTTTTAAAACTGCTTTATTCCCCTTTCTTAAGTCTGCGTAAGTAGCGCTGCTAGTACTTATTAAAGATCCTTACTATTTTAATCTTGTTT